TAGTCTGACCCCCGGCTCCCATAAATGTGCATTTGCACCCAAAGCTTCCAGTTAAGGAAGGTGTGGGGACCTCAGAATTTGCAGGCCGGTCCAGAGAGGCAGTGGGACCTGCAAACATTGGTCATAGCATGACGTTTCTCTTTTTGTGAAGATCTTTCCCTGCTCCAAAAGACTGAAGAGCCTCCCTTGAGGGTGAATTACTGGTGGCAAACATTTCCCGGTTCTGTATAGTATTTTGGCCTCACCCTTTGGGCCTTTGGCTCATCCTACCACTGGAATGTGGACCCCACAATAACCTCAGAAAGAGAATCTGCCTTCCGGATAAAAGAGGTTCCCCACATGTGATCTATGGTGTTTCTTTTTTTAAAGAAAAACCCAGGAAAGATGCAAGCTGCTGGGCAAATTCAGCAGCAACGTATCAGTCCTTCCAGCTAAGACCGTTGGAAGTGCGGCTGGGTCACGGAAAAGAAAGGGAAAAGGTGGCTGGAAGCGCGAACATGAAGCCTCCGTGAAGGAGAAACGAGGCACTGGCAGTTTCAGGGCATTCTTAATTGAACCCAAGAAGGTGAAATGAGAACCAATGTCTGGAAAGAATCCAATTAGAAATTAGGCACACCTTTTCAGTACCACCTGGGTACCCTCTGGGAAGATGTCCTTCAAGAGCTCATTTCTGTGCCCTTTTCTCCTCACATGAAGGTGGAAGGGATATCTGGGCGGCGGAATGAGAAGAAGCTTGGATTGGATCTCTAAATTTCCCGACCTCTGGAGCGGGGCTTCAGGAATGCGGAGGGGCCTCTGTCAGGGTCTCAGTGGGGCAGCTGGGGTGGGGGCTGCCAGAGGGACCGGAGGCTCCCCTCCCCTGCTGGAGGATTTCATATTCAGTTGGAGGTAGGGGTCAAAGGATGCGGAAGTCCAGAGGGTTTGTGGGGGCCCGGCCACCTTTATCCTCACCTGGGGGCCTGGCTCCACTGGGTGGGCTTTCCCCTCCTTTAGCAGCAGGCCAGGGAAAGGGCAGTCCCTGCCATGGACCAAACTGGCATAGCTATCTCTCCCTCATCAGCCGCCAGGAGTGCCTGGGTTTCGACGGGAAGATGCCCATGCGTGACTGCAAGCTTCCTGGAGTAGAAGCAGTATTTATTTCCCTGGTATGGCTCTTCAAAATCTCATGTATGTTCTCGTGATCATATTCAGCAGTTCAAGGGCAGTATTGGGAGACTGCAATCAAGGTTTTCAGTATATAGCCTTTTGACATCTCTGCTAGGCTCTGCTCAAAGGAGCTGTTGCCTGCTGCGTTTTTTGTCGTCTTCCTGTCACAATCCCCTCTCTCCCCAGGGTGTGGGTGCGAGGATGCCCACGCACACACGCGGGTTCCATACTGAGTGAATGTCTGCCTCCGTGCCTAGGCTGGGGGGTGTCTCCCCCAGCAAGCGACACAAGGGGAGTGGGTTGAACCGCATGTTCTCCCTGCCCACATAGGGAGAGATTTTTCTCCCCCTCTCCTGATTCAAGAACCCGCACGAGCATCCGGTGTTTGGCGGGAGACGCAGGACTGATATAAGGACAGTGCAGAGTTCAACTGTGGAACCCACGTCTGCAAGAGGTCCTGACGATGGCCCGCCCACTAGGACGGCTTTGAAAGGGGATTGGCCACATTCAGGGAGGAGGCGGCTATGGCAACGAATCCCAGTGGCTGTACGCAAAGTAACAGAGACAGTGTGCCTGTGCCCACCAGTTGCTGGGGGACATGGGCGGGAGGGTGCTGCTGCACTTGGATCCTGCTGGTGGGCAGCTGGTTCCTCGCTGGGAGAACTCAAGGCTGGGCAGGATGGGCCCTCAGTCGGATCCAGCCAGGCTCTCCTGCCAAATCCGTTGCTTCCCAGAACCCTTTGCAACATCGCAGAGGACGCCAGCAAGCCCCACCTGTATTGCAACCCGACCACCACTCAGGTTGTAAATTCGGTCCTGGAGGCCTCCGTGGGTGGCCCACCCGCCCCACCTGTGGCCGCCTTCCGTGGGCACAGGGGCGAGGGCAGGCTGTGCCTCGGCTTGGCGTCCACTCCCCTGCTCCCCCTCCCTTTAGCCTGCCTTCTCAGTTGAAGAACGGCTCTGCAGGAAAGCGCCCCTGGCATCATTTTAGCAGGAGATGAGAGAGGCACTTAAGAAGCCATTTATCAAAGCGCCCAGCAGCCAGTCCACGCCGAGCAGGTGGGGAGAGCTGGAAATCTACTGCAGGAGGCAAAGTTTAATCAACACCAGGGGCCTTTTAATACAGATGACGGGCTGCGTCCTCCCTTGCCTCCTCTTAGGGTTTTTTTTTTAAGTATTCAGGCTGATGCCGTCCTACTCCTAGTAGACAGTGCCTCATCTCAGCTGCGGCCAGGATGCATCTAAGGTGACCCCTGACTCCTGGACCGACTGGTGCTGGAGGAACCCAACCTACAGGCCATTTATGATCCCCTGCTGGGGGCGGGGGGGTGGGGCAGTTCCTGTAACTGGGCACCACTTTCCGAGTGCACAGCACTGCGGTCGGTCGAGCTGCAAAACAGGAGCGGGTGCTATTTTGGCTCAGCAAAGTGGGGAGGCGTGGAGCTGCCACTGTGCAGCACCCGGCACAGTAGGAACTCCGGACCTCAGGCCCTTGGCTTTGTGAGCAATGCACCACCTGCTCCTGGCAGAGGACTCACAAGCCTTCCTGCGGCTGCCGCGGTGCTTTTCATCTCGCTAAATGTTTGATGGGGTGTCACACGGCTTGCTGCGAGGAGAAAACGAATCTGACCTGCCTTATGCATCTCACGAGCCATTCCGACGGTGATTTTGGGTGCAAGCCCATGCTTTTCAGTGTTACTTATTCCCCCACTTTCTGTGCCACTCACAAATGCTTCTTGACCGGGGTCCTGGTTTCCTTGTGCATGCAAACACACTTTCACATGTACACACTTGACTCCGTTTGTGAGGATGCTTTAAAGCTAAAATTATTGCTGGGGTTTGTAAAAGTTGCTGTTCTATGCATGTCAGCACACACCTGTGTGCGAGCGCACACACACAGAGGACTTGGCATGTGGCGTGCCTCCGTCTTTCTAGCGCACATGCATGTAAATGCCTGCGCAGAAGTGGGATCAGATCGTGCACAGATTTTATACGAATGCACACAGATCGTGCGTTCGTAATGTGTTTGCCTGCTTAATGCAGGAAAAGTAGAGCCCTCTGAAGCGCAAAAATAGTGCATCTGGAAGTAGAGGGATGAGTTTTCAGGGATAGTTCACAAGAACAAAAGCATTGCTGGATGTGCCGGTGCAGAACACAAGGAGATGCTGCACGAAGCCAAGTCTCTGAAAGATGACTGTCTCCTGGCAAAAGGTTGTTTCCCCTTTTCCCTTTTGCTGGCCGGTTCTCTAATGAAATTGCCCAAGAGGTGAGCCATCGTTGCCTCTGCAGACAAGCTGCAGCTGGGCTGGAAGCCGGCCAAACCTGCCTTCCAAATTCTATCCCTTCCTGGACCATGTGGAGCTGTGCGCTGGCACAGCGCCGATCAGGATGGCAGCAGCCTCGCAATCAGCAATTTCGGCTAAGTGCAGGTTCAGACTTACATTGCAGACTGGTTGACCTTTCCTAAACCTTTCGGCAAACATCATTAATACTCGTTTTCTGGTAGAACATTCCAAGTAATTGATTTCAACTTTTTACTCCTGGGTTATCTGTTTTAACAATATCATTAGCTCCCAGTATTCCAGTTACTGGAACATATTCCAACATGGTCAGATTTAATCCAATCCAAATGGCTGAATCCATATTTTTGCAGATGGACCAATAGGTATTTAGGTATCAGATTATGAAATTTGCAGGTGAGAACTCCAACTGAGTGTTGCACTGTAGTCTGTTTTGGTTCAGGATTCCATCTCATTTCCCCCCCTCCCCTGCATTGATGTTTGGATGGTACACTGATCTTTCCTTCCTTCCTTCCTTCCTTCCTTCCTTCCTTCCTTCCTATTATTATTATTATTATTATTATTGCCCAATAGCAAAGGCTTTCTAGGCAGTTAACAAACAAGTCTGATTCCAAGTGTCAAAATGCAAGAACATGTTTTTCTCCTAGGTGCTAAAGAAAGGTATTTCATTTGAACCGGAGGTTCTGGGATGATTTTACCAGCCAGCTAATCCTTCAGAAGTTTCTTGATCATGCAACCTGCAGTTTATCCTGCTGTGAGGAAAGTACACAATGCACCAAAAATATATATTTTTTTCAACCTTCAGAGGGGGAATGAGGCATCTAGTTTACATGTACCTGAAGAAGAGGAGAGCAGTTTTGTAACTGAATCTGTACTCTACCCAGACCACCGAAATGGGCTATGGGAAAGTACAAAAATATATTATTATAAATATCTGCATGGTCATTGCATCTGCTCACTTGTGCGAATGAAGCACATGCTAAAAGAATGGAGCAAATGGCTTGAGGGGAAAGGAAAAACGCCAGTTGGTCTCCCACCTAGCAGAGAGAAATGGGCTGCATTGTCTGAAGCCTTCCTGGGATTTGCTTAGTATTTGAATCGAGGTCGCCTCCAGTTGCCAAGGCAACAGGGAAAGAACGTCCTTCCCAACATGGCAGCGCCAGAACCGCTCTCTAGACCTGCCTAATATGGCGACTGACGCCACGTTAAAATAAGCTCATGTGACCTTTTACGTTGGGTTTCCCGCCTCTCAAAGCCTGCCATGGCCCTCCCGGTCCGCCGTCACTTTATAGTTCTCCATGACCATAGAGATAGAAAATAGTGGGCCTGTACAGTTTAAAAGTACCGCCAGACTTGAATCTTGCCATTAAACCTCTGTAGATGCAATCTTGTGCCACCTAAAAGTTTTTCTAACTGGGAAAAAACGTTTTGCAGTGGAAAAGCAGAAGGAAGATAACCATTAAATCAAGGGCACCTCTACACTTTTTCTATCTCTACACTTTTTCTATCTCTACACGCAAGAGGGCGCTTTGCTCGCCTCACTCAAGATGACGACGCTCGCGTCCCTCTTCCCCTACCCGTTTTTTCCGGGCGGGACCTCGTCCCTTTCGATCGGCTAGCCAATCAGATTCCTGTGCTGGGCGGGGCTTTCAGGGTTGCCACGGCAACTGGGGCCCAGAAGCCCCCGTTGCGTGGGGAGGTTCAGAAGACTTCGTGGCGCCGAATTTCTGGAGGTGCAGGTAATGGAAGCGCTGCGCGCGTGCGCAGAGTGCGGGACCGGTGCCCGCGTTGCTTGCACGTGTGAACGGGGGCGCCGCCGTCTCATTCTCCCTTCCCATCCTCCCTTTTTTATCGGTGCAGAGCAGAGCGTGCGAAAACTGAATGCCTCTGATGTGCATCTGGGTTCTAGTTTCCGCTCAGCCGTGGAGCCAGCTGGGTGATTCTGGGCCAGGCAGACTCTCAGGCCGGCCTACCTGACAGGGTTGTTGTGTGGATAAGATTGAGCGCAGGAGGAGGAAGAGAACGATGCAAGCCGTTCTGAGTTCTTTGTAAGAAAACAGGCGGGATGTAAATCAAATAAATAAAGAGAGAAAAGCTGGGAGTGGCTGGGTCGCATGTGACTGGGACTTCCATGTTCAGAGGCAGAATTTGCTCATGCAAGGGAGGCCAACCCTTTAGACAACTTTGAGGAGGAGAGGACCATCCCTCTGTTGCAAATAGTCTATGCTAAATAAAGTTATGTAAATAAATAAGCACAATCTTAGCCACACAAAGCCTGCAGGTCAGCTTTCTCCAGTCTGGTTCAGAGGTGCTCCAGCAGTATCTGCTGAACAGGTTATGAATGAACATCTTGTGGCCCCAGGAAGGTGTTGCAGTGCAACATCATCAGCATTGACCGGAGCAGTGATGCACAAGAAGCGCTGCAGTCCAGCCTCTGGTGCTTCGTGCGGGCTGGTCACTGAATATTTTATTTGCCGCATTTGGGTTCCCTTGGTGCAGAAGTTTGGCTTTGCGGGCATAGCTGCTACCCACCCAGGCTCGGAATATTAGCAAAGCCAAGCCTCTGTCCAGTGATCTGGCCCTCTGCCGCCCTTGGCTCAGCATCCTCTCCTCTTTAAGTTCTTTTCCCTCTGCAGAGCCATGGCTGAAGTCCACGTGATCGGTCAGCTCGTGGGAGCCAGCGGATTCCCCCGCAGCAGCCTCTTTTGCAAATGGGGGATCCATGCAGGTTAGTGAAGCATTGTGGGTTGGGCATCTCCACTTTGAAACAGGGAGGGGGGGCTGTATCTTGTGGGTCTGGGGGCAAACAGGTGGGAATCAGCTGCAGCTAAGGGAGGGAAGCATATGTGGCAGGACTCCAGTCCAGTTTCCCCCATCTCTGCTAAAACAGCCTTTCCCAACCCCATGTGCCACAGATGGCTCGGACTGCGGGTTCTTTCTCGTCACTACTGCCTCTGCTGAATAGGGATGATGGGAGCTGCTTGCCCAAACATCTGGAGGGCCGTATTTGCCTGCCTTGTTCTGCAGGCTCCGTTCCTGCAAAAGGTCACACGAGTGTTTCCTCTTGACCTCTGGCACAGGCAGAGAGAAGTGTGGTTGGAGAATTCCAGCTTAGTTTTAACTCACTGGCCTCTCTTGCTTTTACAAGCTGAGTCACTCCCCTTACATGCCATGACAGTTCCTGACGCTTTCTGTGGTTCTGCACATTTTCTCTCACTTTCTCCTTCAAAAGAGGGTTCCCAGCACCTGCCGCGTGTGCTGTTGGGTTGGCTGGGGAGCATAAGAACAGCCCTGCAGAGTCGGTCCAGACTGCATCCAGCAAGCCTCACACAGTGGCGGTCCCCAGCCGGAGCACGAGTGCGAGAATAGGGCATAGTTCTCCCAGTCCCATTCACACAGCAAGCTTTAAACAGAAGGAGACGGGTAGCCACCGACACCTGCCCATGAATTTGTCTGCCCCCCTTCTAAAGTCATCCAAACCTTGGTGCCATCACTTGTGGCCATCTTGTGCAGCAAATTCCAAAACTCAGCTATGCATTGCTTGAAAAAGTACCTTTGATCTGGCCTGAGACATTCTCTGACCATCCTCCCAGGATGACCCTGTTGAATTCCAACACTGTGAGACTCCCCGCTTTCTCCACCCCATGCATCTTTTTGCACACCTCTGTCCTGTCTCCTCGCGCACCTTTTCTCTGAGCTCGGCCGTTTCAGACATTGTAACCTTTCCAACCCTGCAGTGCCCTCTTTTTAGTTGAAGTGACCAGAACTGAAGCTAGTACTTCAAGCGTGGCTGCACCATAGATTTGCATGAGGCCTTTGCATAAAAGTCGTTAGTATTTCCCAGCCGGGGAGAACCAGTCAAAGCACAAGATACCGATGGCTGTGTGACAGACCGGAGGTGCAACTTGAGTAGAGATCTGAAGGCTGAAGGCATGGGAGAAAACTCCCATTTTTTCCAGTATACTTCTAGATGTTGATATCACTAGACTTTCTCTATGGCAGCCTCCTGTATTTCCAGCCAGCACAGCTCGGTTTTTGCCTTCTCATCAGCTCTTCCTCCTTCTCCCAGGTGGTGCCTGGAAGCTGCTGTCAGGCCTCCGGGAGGGACAGACCCAAGTCGACCACCCGCAACTGGATGACGTGGCTTACTGGTGCCACCCCATTGATGTCCACTTTGCCACCAAAGGCTTGCAGGGTAAGGGACGGGGTGTATCTTGCTGGCCTCTTTTTCCTTGCAGCTCCTTGTGGTGGTGGTGTCATAAACTTGAGATTTCTGGCCGTGTTGTGCATCTCCGAGTGGGGTCAGCAATCGAGGGACTTTTGGAAGAGCAGCCCATTCCTTCTTGAGAATGCAGCAGTGCTTCCAGGCTGAAGCTGGTTTAATGCTTCCTTATTCCCTCTTTGCAGAGGGTTGTGGGGCTTTTGGCCTGGAGTTGGGGTAGGGCTGTATCTGTTCTCAGCACCCCTTACACATGGCTGTTGAAAGCTCTGCCCTCTATGAATTAATTTAGTCTTTTTCACCTTTTATGACTTCAAGAAGCACAGCCTTTCCTAACTTGCGTCTACCAGATGTGTTGGACTAGACTCCCAGCGTGGCGGGCTGGAGATGCTGTGGACTGACACCCCCTGGAAGCGACTAGGCTGCAAAAGGCGGGGGCAGCATCCCCCTGCAGCCTGGCAAAGCCAGGCATTGGTGACTTGACAGGCGGCATTTCTCCCTCTTCTCACTGCTTCTTCACCGCTGGCCTTCCCAGTCTTGTGTCTCCTTTCTTGCATCATAGTCCAGGCCACACAACTCCAGCTACCCTCTCCATAATTTGCTACATAAAAGGAAATTAATCCCTGTCCATTATATGCTCCGTCAGACAAAAGAGCTCAGGAACCAACTGGCTTGGAGAAGCCGGCCAGAATGGCAGCGGATTAACCGCCTGGGCTCGCTGCCTTTTATACGCACCGGTTTGTTTTGTGTGGGCTTCTCGGCACTTCGTTTCAGACAGAGCTGAGCCAGCCCAGAAAAGTGGGGGCAAGAAAAGGCCAGGGAGGCTTATGCGTGGCGGGTGGGGAGCAGGAGCAGAAGGATGCGGAAAAACTCCCGCTGCCCTTTTCCCCGTGGCCGACGAGACTCCGCGTCATTAAGAAAGGATGCCTCCTGGAGTCCCTTTATTACCAGGAACACGCTGCTCAGCCAGGAAGAGTTTTTTTAAAGCCCAAGTGAACCAAAAATAGCCGGCCTTTGGCTCAGGAGGTAACATGAGTGTTGGGGGGGGGCAGCAGGGGGAGCTTGGGGGAGCCAAACGCTGAGGAAGGGAACGGTCTTCACTATTGTCATTATCAGTATTTCATTTCGCATTTATGGTGTGCTTTTTGAATGTTCAGATGCAGCTTATCTGCTGCAGACAACCCTGTAAGGTAGGCCAGTATTGTTATCTGCACTGTGCATTCTTAGGGTGGGTGACCAAGACAGTTAATGAAGGTGGGACGAAACCAATATTAGGTTTGGAAGGCCGGTTTGCTTTGGTGGCTTTGTGGGATTATGGCAAAGGTGCCATTTGAAGTGGAACATTTCCTGGTTCTTAGCACTGCAGAGAGCCAGTGTGGCTCAGTGGTTAAGACTGGGACTTGGGAGATCGAATCCCAGCTCAGCCATGGAGCTCACCGGGTGACTCTGGGCCAGTCCAGATTCACACTGTGCGGCGTGTTGTGATGACGCGTCCCCTCTTCTCCCTGCCCCAGGCTGGCCCAAGCTTCACGTCCAGGTCTGGCACCAAGACGCCTTCGGCCGGAGCGAGCTGTACGGCTACGGCTTCTGCCACGTGCCCTCCAGCCCCGGCTTCCACCAGATGGACTGCGTCACCTGGCGCCCCCTGGGCTCGTGGCAGGAGCAGCTGTCCCAGCTCTTCGTGGGCGGGGGCCCCCAGCTGCTCCACAGCGACCTGATCTACACGAGCGCCGACCGCTACCGCCTGCAGACCCGCGCCATGGGCACCGTCCACCTCCAGCTGGCCGTCCTCCTCCGCAACTTTGACCGCTACGGAGTCGAGTGCTGAGCCTCACCTGCCTCCCTGCCATCCTGGGGCACGGCCGGCACCCTTGCTGCTCCCCGTCTGCCCTGGCCCGGAGCAGCAAACTGCCTCTCGCGAGAAGAAACCGCCTCTTCTGCGGCGGCGAACTGTGTCCCAGGAGGGAGGGACAAGCCACTGCCCCAGCATGGCTTGCGTGAGCGATAGCCTGGCAAGTGAGGCTGTGCCACTCTCCCCCGGCTGAAGGGAACCCCCCCCCCATCCCATCAGTGGCTCGGGGGCAGGACACACGTGCTGGGACCGAAAAAGGAGCACAGGTGGATGTCTGATCATGCTTCTGACCCTGGGAACAACGCAGGCCCGGTGCCTGTGCTGGCCACCAGAACGCTTCCTCGTTCAACCTGCTGCTTGAATGGCCCTGGCAGATTGGCACTGCTCTTCCCCACCTCGGTGTCCGGAAGTCCGTGTCCCGTCGTTTTATTTCTGTAAAGGATTTGCGGGTTTTGCTTTGCATTAAATGAGCTGTCTCTGAGGGGGGTTGCGTGGTGCTTGTGGGCAAGCAAAAGCTGTTTTGGTGAGTCGGTGGGTGAATGAAAGCCGCCCGGTTTTCGGTTTGCCATTGCATGGAGCGGGATGCGGCAATGGCATCATTTGGGCCGCCTCCTGCTTTGAGGAGACACTCAGCAAGGTCCCCCGGTCCTGGAGCGCCGAAATTACTACCAGGCCGCCAGTGGAATGGGAGGAAATTTCGAAGTGCGGGAGCCCCTCTCCTCTCCATGTTTATTGTGAACTTCATTAAAATAAACTGAAATGAATCAACAAGACAAAGCTTGAAATTAACATCTGTATGCCAGCATAAACCCAGGGCTATGCATTACTGTTACTATGAATTCATCTCTATGCCACCTGTAGCCCAATGAATTACTTACCTGTGTGTGCCCGTTCACAGCTATATAACTTTATGTCATCTGCTCAGTTCCCGAAAGAATCATCGAGTCTTGACGGCACTGCGGGAGGCAAGCTTTTCTCTTCCCGGCATTGTGGAATGAGTCTCCCAGCTGCCGTGCAAAAAGCGCGTTCGCATTGACCATGCTTTAACTTCCAAGAAACGGATAATTTAAAATAATGTGTACATCAGAAATACCAAAGGGCATTCTGATGCACATTTAGCTGTATTATAATTTCTACTCAGAAAGGGCATTGGAGATCATCAAAACACAAGGGCAAAAGAAGCCTTAACGATATTACAGCTTCAGCGCTGCAAATAGCTAGATAATGCAGGAGGCGATCACGAGCATTCCCAGAGTCACACACCCAGAGAGCGCCCAATGCAGACCACTGTGGTGATCCAGGCTCCACAGTCCTCCAGGAGCAGGCCTTCAGGAACCCGAAGGGGTCTGAACTGCCCATTTGAGACTAAACCCCGAAACGCACCAGTTGCTTGCAATGCGTGTTGTTACTGGGCAATCCATTTCTCCACCATTTACTGTGAGGTCTGCAGAGCTGACAGAAATCTAAAGGAAGGGTCCTCTGTTGCGTGTACCCTGCCAAGCAAAGAGCCCCGGTGCTTTGACCCTGTGAGTGCTGCTCCACCACCAGTGCCTCGGCCCTGGAGCCGCCATTCTGATTTCCCACGATGCCCGAGAGCAACGTCCCACTACTAGCCTTCTGCAAAATGAAAAACAGCAACTTCAAGTGGCTGTGTGTATAGCACCTTCCCGTCCTCCCATTTTCCATTCACAGTAATTATTTTTACTATTGTGGGGGATTAAGTGATACCCCAGCGTCACTCGCAGTCCAAACGTGCGCAGTCTGTTCCTGATCTTGCCGCTCAGATCACCTCATCGTGCTGCATCGTGGTGAGAAAGATGAAGCACGGGGGGTGGTGCATGCCATGGTTGCCTATGGTGAGTAAAAACCACCATTAGGCGACAAGACCTGGAAGTTACAAGGAAAAGAAAGCGGTGCTTCCCCTTCTAAGGCGCACATGGATGCCACAGATGATGTGACGGGCAGCTGTCCCCATGGCTGGCCAGTTCCCATAGAAAGTGGGGAGGGGGTGCCATAAAAACAGGCACAACGGCAAGGACCTCTTCCTATTATTTGCCTTGTGGAGCGCCGTCATTTTAAGCAAGTTTCTCTCAGGACCACTTCAGTTCTGGAAGCAGGCCAGACTGTGAGAAACCTCTTTCAAGAAACCGAGTCTGCGAAGGTAATGGGGCTGTGCATCTCACCTGTCCTGCCTAGGTTTGATTTCCTGGAACGAAAGTACCCCGACTTGAGACCAGCACACACGATGCTCCATCCTGTTTGGCCTGGCCTCCTCTACGGCTTGTAAAGTCAGGCTACGGCGGGTTGTGGGGCCATTCCAAAGCTAGGTTGAAAAACCACAGCTAGTCTTTCATGAAATCGGATGTTTCTGACATTCCTGGCTCAGCTGGGTTTCTGGCTACAGGCAGCCCCAAGAAAGCCTGGCCAGAAGGAAGCTGCTAGGATTAACCCCACCTGTGAGGGAGCATTCCCCCCCCTGCCTGCCCCCCATGAATGGGGCTTCCTTCCCTGCCTTAATGTATTTTGACAGTGCTCCCTCCTGCTCTGCCTCCATCATGAGCCGAATGGGCGCATTGGCATCTCTACTAAAGCAGGCACTTCTTAACGATGGTTTGCAGTCAGTTTGGCCTGGAGCAGGGTGGAGTGGCCGGGTGGTCAGCACAAGGAGAAGCCGAAAGCATTGCGGGGGGGGGGGAGTCTTCATCCAAACGCTGAAGCCCTCTATGTGTAACTTGTTCAGCCACACAGCGGCGACCTGTCCGTCTGCTAGCAGCCTGTGGGGCAAAGAAAGGGGAAGGGGCAGCCCAACGGCTTGGGGCTTTTGCCTTGCCTGCCGCGTGCTTCAGCCAAGGTCCCTGCTAGGATGCGGCTTCTGGTAGCTGAACCGTGAGCAAAGGTGGCCCTCGAATGAACAGAAGCTGCCTATTAAGAGGAGTGGCAGCAGTGGGACACAAGGTCTGGACTCTAGTCTTGCCTTAAGAACGGCCTTGCCAGATGTGACGGAAGGACCACGGAGTCCCACCTTTTCCAACCGTGGTGGCCCAGAAGCAGGCTGAGCAGTCCCTTCCTTGGAGGTTTGCTGCAGACATCTGGTATTCAGCCATGTCTACTTCTGTTCTCGGGCCTCGGATGTAAGAACTGGCCACCCTTTGCCCAGTGACGCAGCGCCGATTCCTAGTTTTCATTCGCTGTGGCCCTCGGCAGAACACATGGATTCCTCAGAGGACTCCTTTCCGTGCACCCCTGTGCCTACAGCCACGCTTTCCCGGGCTGGGCCCAGGTTCCGGTATTCCAAGAACGAGGGGGGAACACTTCCCTCTCTCCACGCCGCACTCCTACCAGCCTCTCCCAACCTTCCTGAAAAGGGCGTCTTCAAGATGTGTTGGATTCCTCCTCCTGCTGCCCAGCATTGTCCAACACGTACAGGGCACCTGGTTGGGGAAGGTCCCTCTCTCTCATCTCACACGCGGTCATCCCTTCCCCGCACCACCGAAGAGCCCCCGAAGCCTCTTAGAAGGTAGCCGTTCCCTTGGCTATGCACAGTTCTCGTTCGTAATCCTTCTGCCGCACCGCACGCTTTGAAGCTTCCTCCTGGGTTTGTCGGCTGTGTAGCTGCCTTCCGAGCCCAGCTTGGCCCGACGCCGGCTCCTGCCCGGAAGGCCTCCTTCAGGTCGCTGAGCTCCCTTCCCTTCCCTTTGCTTGGCTTCGCTGTTCTGCCAGACCTCTCAGGGCGCCTGCCTCCGCTCAGCCTAATCGAGGGTGAAAGTACAGGACATGCTGCCGTTCCCGGATGCCCCGGCCTATCCTGGAAGTCTCTGCTGCTTCTCAGAACTCCTTGATCCAAGAAAGCCACCCGAGTGTGTTCCTGGCAGGCTGCTTGGCAAGTCAGCGGACAGAGCCGGCTTGTACAGTTGAACGGGCTCACGAGTGGCCCATCTTAGCTGACATGGCAAGTTAAGGGGAACACGGGGATGCTAGAGAAAACAGCATCCCTGGAAGAGAGGCAGGTTCTGGAACCAGGATGTGCAAGAATTCTGCTCACAAACACTCCAAACACGACCCATTTGCACCCCCGGATGCAAGCATGTTTCCCCAATAACCATTTGCACAATCCCAAACTCACCATCCCATTTGAAAAATACTTGCAGATGGGCAGTTCTTCCCTTAAAAAAACCTTTTCCATGCTTTAGTAGTTGGGAGACAGCGTTCCCTTGTGGAAAACCTCACTTTTCTCATTCAAACTGCACACGTTCCCCATTTGGACAAACCGAGAAACAGTTTGCGGAACCGTGAATGAACTGATGCTCTTAAATGAAAAAGGAACCACCCACGTATCAGGTGGCTTCCTTTGGTCCCCTCTCATGCTGCAAAATGTCTCCAAAACAGTTTCAATGCCACTTTGAGGCACCATCCCCTCCAACAATAAAAACGTGCGAAGTAAATGCAGCTTTTCAAGTCCGTGAACATATGTTTCAATCCAAAAAACAGATTGCCAGTGAGGACCACTGAATGGCAAAGAATTTTGAAGCAGCTTGACAAGGCCGAGATGAGTTTGACAAGGTATTATGGACCATGGGAAGAAGAGTTCCTGATGGTTGTTCTCCACACTCTGCTCAAATGCCCAAGACTTGATCCGAAGGATGAAGGACTGGTTAGAACATTTTAAAGCAAAGAAACAGTAAAAAGGGCAACCAACTGTAGAGCCCTAGAAAACACAGGCACTGTTTTGTGGAGAACGAAGGAACAATGCTGGATTTCCATGCTATGGAATCAATATCCGGGGAAAGCAAAGATTTATTTGTATACAATACCTGGCTTGTCAGTGACAATTCCAGGTTCTAGTTGGCTTTGAATGCAAAGGGCAGGCTGCATGTTTTGAACCTTCTTCCATGTCAAAAAAGTCCTCGCAAAGAGAAAGACAGCCAGTCAGGAAGAAATGTGCAGTGCACCTCTTCTCCCTGGCATGCTGGCTTTCCATGTGCAGTGAGTTGCTTATTGCAGTAGGTGCTGCCTTGGAAGGCAGGGATTCTTCCGGAAAGAGACGTGGCACACTTTCGAGGCAGTCCTAGCGGAACAGACCCAGACCCCAACTTGCTGGCTGGGAATGATGGGAGTTGTTGTCCATCACATCTGGGGAGTACCAGGTTGTGGAAGGCTGCCATGAGAAATCAGCTGCTGTCTGTCTGTGGATTTTACTTTCAGGCAAAGCAAAGGAGAACCAACCCCCTCAAACAAAGCCCATCTCACCAGCCTGAGTTCTGCTCGGCTCACTGATGTCCTAGGCCAAGTGTTTTCCATGCGATGGAAAGCAAATATTCATGATGTTTGGTTAGCGAAGTCATAAATATTCATAATTCGAGAACTGAGCCTCTTGCACAGCTCAGGCAGCCGGAGACATAAAGCAAAAGGACAGCCATCTCCCAGGTAGGTTGTGTGGGTGAGGTGGATGATGGATGAGTTGGCAGCTCCAGGTTTTTCGCACCTGCGATGACTTGCTAGACCACGATCATAAAACCAACACGGTTTACAGAGTCATTCATAATGCTTAAAGCCCAAAGTCATATATTTTCCTCCTTTTTAATTTCATTTGGAGCGGGAGACGGGGAGCTAAGGTGCGATCCATGCAAGTTTGGACAGAAAAACGGCCTCAGCTCTCAGCGTGCCAGCCAGCTATGCACAGACTTGGAGGCCTGTTTCTGTCTCAGCTTGCGTGGCACTACGTCTTTAATCACCTTTAACTTGGTCTCCTTCATGGGTGGTCATAACTCGGTTGTCTGAGATGCAACGTATCACACGTTTTGCACTGCATTGTTATTTATTCTAATTTCATTTTCAGTTCATTTTTAATTTTAAGAACAGGCCCTTATTTGCCCTCTGACAGACTAGAGAAATGCCAAATAGAGGGACTCGCTCTTGCACGATTGCAGAAATTCTATTTGGCCGTCTGGGTTCTGCCAAATCGCCGAGAGCCAAAATAGTGCAGCTCCGGCTGCGTCCAGCAGGGGTCACCGAAGCTGCAGGTTTGCAAAAGCCCACGGCCGCGGGGCCGTCATTTTCCCAGCTGCCACCCCAGCTAACCACTAGACCACATTCCCTTCTGGTACCTGAGCATTAAATTCAGGGCATTCTCGCTCTGCTGGCCCCATTCTGTCTTCTCGACCACAGACCACTTGGCGGTTTATGACTCCCGCGGACGCCCCTGCAGCCCATTCCAAAAGGCTGAGAATACGCCTAAGGTTTAACGATTGGCAGCAAGCATTTTAAGCTCAGGTGGGTGGGCATTCTTGCCTGTAATCCCACCCGCCCCTGCAGTGGGGTCCCCCAAGACCTCTGGGGACCCCAATTTCATCCCACCTCCCCAGCTAATGGCCACTGCTTTGCTTGCTTGCTAGCTTGCTCGCTGGTTTGTTTGGAACTGGTCTGGGTTTTGTGCTTTCAGCAGTGCCTGAAAGTATCCCCATGACGTTTCCAGCCTCCCCGCCGCTTTTTGAGATCCCAGCACTGTGCCCTTAAACTGGTTAAGGGACCCAGGAATTCTGTGCTCCCTCTGCAGAAGCTTGAAGTCCTTCCCTCCGTCCCACCGCTCACAGGACAACACAACCGCCACAGGCCCCCTCGAGATGTGCTGAGGCAGAAATAAAGCGGGCCATCCCAGCCAGCCTCGGCCAGCACTATTGATCCGGCTGGGGATGCGGGGCTTGTAGGGCTTTTCCTATCTAAACGTGCCTCGGATTGTGCCCTCAGCTTGAACCCCCTCGCCTGTTTTCACCACTGTCCAACACTCTCTTGCCAAAGCTGAGATAAAAGATGCCAGTGGAGCTCGTCCACCAGTTTGCTGCTCTCCCTGACTGGTTCCTGGCCCTGATCCGAGCGACCTGCCTGGGTTTTCTTCCTGCAAGCCAACTCTACAATCTTCTCTCTCCTTCAGGTGTGTTTTTAGCCTTCTCTCTCTGAAAATAAAGTGTGTTTCTGCACCAGGTGAAGCAAGTCAGCAGCTTGTTACCAGTGGGACTGTACTGGTTTCCTTCCAGGGAAAGGCCTGAGCTGATGGACTGCCACAGCAGAGTCGAATGTGCAAGCCTGAAGCAGGTCCTCACCGTGCTACGTTGGAATAGCCTCTGAAGAGATGCCAAAGTGGGGAAGCACAAAATCCTTTCCCAGCTTAGGAAGCGGCCAGTCTGCAGCTTACATGGGGCATCGGTGGGGCATTTTTCCTTCCAATGCCCCAAATACGAGGCATTCTTCTGCAAAGCCCCCCCCCCCATTCCTGCATCAACACTACCGGCAGTGGAGAGCAGTGGAAATTGAATGGGCGTGTGGCTCAGTGGGGAAGCCCCTGCTCTCCACGCTTCAGTCCAGCTGGCCCCACTTCAATCCCCAGTTTCTCCAAGGCCCCAGTGTTGGCCTGAAACACTGAAGAGCTGGGAATCTCTGCTGGATCGGGCCAAGAGTCCGTTTTGCCCTCACTCCGTTCACACCGTAGCTTGCTGGTTCTTCATGGGAACCTCACAAGCAACATGGTGACCATGCGTGTCTTAAATGCACCACCAAAGGGGGCATCCAGCCATCACGACTGGTAGCCGTGGAGCGCGTTCTCCTCCACCAGGCTGCCCAGATGGGGCCTGCGAAGCCAGGCACAGGGGGCCGCGAGAACAGGGAGGCTGGAATGAGAGAGATGAGCTGTCCTTTTATAGCTGGGTGCTGCGCAGAAACGTCACGGATCTGTAGCCCAAAATTGGATCTCGCCACATGCAGATCCAAGCAATGCGGCTTGGATTCATTTTGGGCGTAACACAACGCCAAGCCCCCTTTCCCCGACGCAGCTGCTCCGAAATAGCTCAGGCATGGCCGGGGCTGGAATTGCCCGCTAGCTTGGCATGCGGTGGGGCGTCTTGTGTCAGGAAAGCAGGAGGGGCCCTGAATGTCAGGCGTTCATATCTGCACACCCCGGAGGACTAGACCGAGGAGTCAGCCCCGTGGAATCCGACGCCTGCCTGCAGAGGCAAGAAAGGATCGCAGATTCGGCAGGCGGCGAGGGCTTTCCTGGCCCCGCTGCCCGGCCACACTGGGCTGAGCCGAATGCCCTCCTGTTCACGTGATTTTGCAGCGCTCTTCTGCTCAGGGCGGGCCGGGGCGCTGGGGACAGCAGCATGCCAAGTAGGCGAGGCTGAGAGACGGGGATCGGGCCGAGATCAGCCAGTGATGGCGGCGGCAGGACGCAAGATTTGAACCCCAGTCCTCTCCACCTGGGCTCCCTGCTCTCTACCAAGCGCGGCTGCATTAGCTAGGCAAAGGAACGCCTGACCTGGATTACGGCAGCTGATAATCGAAGCTCATCCATGGGGATTATTTTGTTCACTGCCACACTGCAAGGACTGATGTCACTGGCCCCCTGAACATCGAAAGGTAGCTGAGGAAATGACCTGACAGCAAGGTGCTCGCAGGAAGCCTCTCAGGCAGAGGTCCACGCTGACTGTGTTCAGACAGCACTCAGGAGTGAAGTCTGGCTGTCGCCGAGCCGTAGGTTGTTGTGCAAACATGGCTTGTTCTGCTATCCCACCCCAGACAACAAATTGCGGTGAACAACGCTCAGCTCATGAGCCGAGGACAAACCATGGATTCTCTTCATGGTCTGCTCATGGTAAACAAGCCATGGTTTGTTCGCGCAGCTGGGTTCAGACAACAGAATAACCCATATTCCAACAAGGACCCACTTTTCAACAACAACACACCTTCAGGTCATGAATCTGGGTTATTGTGTTGCTCGAACCAACTTTTTGGCAGTGGCAGAACTTGAACCCGAGTCTTCCAACTCTTCTTGAATTAGAAAACACAACATCTCAGCAGCCTTGAGAGAAATGCCTCAGAACAGAAGCCCCAGGGAAGAAGAAGGTGCGTGTGTCATCCAATCTTCTGTAAGCAACAGCACTCTTTCAAAACTAAGGAACGGACCCTCGAAATGCGAGACGGTGGGTGTGTTTAGTCTCTACATGGCATCACTTTTGCCTTGCGGTGAATATTTGTGTGTGTTTGTGCTCTTTTAGCGAGGCGGCTGGTTCAGCACTGAGGGGAAAGCAGAGGAAGGGAGAGATGGGGAGGGCATACCAAAAAGAAAGATCTGAAAAGCAAGAAAGAAAGAAAGAAAGAAAGAAAGAAAGAAAGAAAGAAAGAAAGAAAGAAGGGAAGAAAGAAAGAAAGAAAGAGAGGGTCACTGCTTGGCTAGAATAGCAGTTGTCTCTTTTTTCACAGGGAGAAAGTCATACAGAGCAGCGTTCACTCCCTCCTTCACTTCCTGGGTGGAGCTGGCGCTGGGGAGAGGCAAAAACGCTTTAAAAACCTCCAAGCCCGCAGTCAGCAAGTCCCAGCAGGAGTGGTAAAATTACAGCCTTTCCTACAGAGGAAGAAAGCAGGGCCAGCTGGCTCCAGAGCAGAAGCAGCCAAGCGGCGGCACTGGCCGCAGCCTGCGCACGGCCGTCGTGGGCTTGCCAGCCCTGCCGCCGGACTTGGCCCCGACCGCCGCTGCGGGCCACGCTCCGAGAGGCCCGGGTGCCGCTCGGCCTCTGGCGGCTCTCGAGCGCCTGGCTCTGCCTGGAGGGGTCCTTCGAAGCGAGCCGGAGGGACGGGGCTCTCTGCCCTGAGCCATGGGTGTCCGGGCCGCCGTGGCCCTGTGCCAGGGGTGAACCCGGGCGCGCTTGGCCTCCAAGCCTATGGGCCGCACCGGAGCCCAGCAGCCCCTGCGAAGCGCGAGGTGAGTCTCCGCCACCCCCGCGAGTCGGAGCCCGACGGGCCGGGCCAGGCCGGGACGGACAGCAAGCTCCGGGGCCGGGACACACGTTGCTTGGCACGGGGAGAGACTGGATGGTGCTCTGCGGTTCCAGATCTGGCAGGAAGCAGCCCGCTCCGTCGGATGCTGGCGCAGGCGTCTTAAGGAAGGACTGAGGAGGCAGCGAGAAACCCGGCAGGGAGGGTGGGTGGGATCTCTTCTTCTGCTCGGCGGCCGAGCGAGCGCAGAAGCCAATCGGGGGGGAGGAAGTATGAGGAGCCTCGTGCCAAGAGGCGGCGGCGGCAGGCGGAGCGGCTCTCCGCGGGCACCGGGCAGCCGGGGCGTGCAGAGGGCCACGGGCTGGCTGCTGCTGCTGCTGCTGCTGGCCCTGGAGCACTTCTCCTCCACCCTGGCCTTCTCCACGTGCAAGACGCTGGACATGGAGATGATGAAGCGCAAGCGGATCGAGGCCATCCGGGGGCAGATCCTCAGCAAGCTCAAGCTGTCCAGCCCGCCGGAGGTGGAGGACACCGAGTCGCGGGAGCTGTCCGAAGACGTCCTGGCCCTCTACAACAGCACGCTGGAGGTGATCCGCGAGATGATGGCCGAAGACCAGAAGGAGACGTCCCAGGAAGAGTACTACGCCAAGGAGGTGCACCGCTTCAACATGCTGCCTGCCGGTCACGGTGAGACGAGAGCGGAGGGTGGCAGGCGGAGCCTGCGTGTGTTTGCGTCTGCACAGGCCCGGGGTGCCTAGTCCTTGGGCTGGACCTAAGAACCAGGGGCTGGTGGCTCTCAGAATCCTTCCCTCGTGTCTGTGCTTCCCACAAGCCGACGCGCTTTGGGATGGGAAGGATTCTCTGACTCTGCTCCATTTCTGTGTTTCTCGACCCAGAAATGAGGTGGAAAGAGCAGCTATAAAGGGGCCTCACCCACCCCACTCCTCTGTTAAAGCAGAGAGGGTCAGGACCGGTTTTAGAAGCTGGAGGGCCACCCCCGGGAAAGGCATGGTGTGACACAGGGCAAGCGCAATGTCCTATTTTGTGTCTGGCTGGTTTATCTTAGTGGTGTTAAGTAGAGGCTGAGCGAGAGAAAGGCATGTCTGTTACCTGCACTGAAATGCCGGGTACATCCAGTGCTCGAGCAAAAATGTTTTGGGATGTTCTCTGCATTAAAAGGGAGAAAGTAAATACATCTAACCGGAAAGGGCGAGGCGGAAAAGGGGCGTGATATTGCTGCTGGTGGGTTAATCTATGCCTGGGACGGCCATGCAGGCTGGAGCTGGAGCTGGAGCTGGGGATGGGACAGCAGGCCCGTTCTTCTCCCCATAGGGTAATGCTGGCTGTGACCCCACACACTGAGGTTTATTTAACCCTTAGTGAACGAGTGCAGTCGCTCCCTCCCGGGAGCTTTTTAAGCCTTCCTCTGCTTTAACAGCATCCCAGGAAGCCGAGATTCAACAGGTGAGCAGATCAAGTGCTGGGAAGCATCTCACCTGCTGAATTTTTGTGTGTCAGGGCACCGTTCAAGGCGTGGGCACAGGGCCAGCTGCAGAGCTGGCAGCGCCGATGTGACGGTGGCTGCAGTGCTGTCCAAATCCTTCTCCACAGAAAGGAAGGAGGGCAGCGCAGAGGAAATGGAGAGGCAAGCCGCCGGCTTTTGCTTGTCGGCCAGTTAGACTTTGCACATGCTCAGAGGCTATCATCAGGTCACACACCCAGTTGTGCAGCTTGGTGTTCTAGGCAACAGGGATCCACTTAGGATCCCTCCGAGCCGCTTCTAGGAGCGGGTTGATGGGTCCGTCTTCAGAACGGCACTTTGGCCGCCGCTTCTGCCTTACGATGTGGGCAGTCCCATCCCCCAGCTCCACACGGGCGCATTAGCTCTGTCCATGTGTGACGGGGAGAGGAGACACACATCCTGTGCCTTGCGCTCCTTCCGTGGTTGCACAAGGATCCGGCTGCGGGGACTCTCAGCGGGAGAAGGCCCTCTCCTTCTGAGGCTTGGAGCCATTTCTGCACCATCAGCTTTCCCCGGAGGCGGGGTGCTGCGGTGGGAGGTAAGAGCAGAGATCGGATGGCCACGGGGACCGCAGGCGCATCTCGCCATTTCCTGAGAAACTGCAGGGCTCAGCAGGTCCCGTTCCAGGGCAGCTTCACCGTTTCTCTCCCCGAAGGCCGCCGGCTGCCAGCGAGCTGTGAAACGCTCGGTCGGCACAGGGCGCCGGCGTCTTCCGTTTCTGATGCTGCCATTATGCAGCTAGAAAACTTTTTCTGAATGACTTGCGCAGCGGCTCGACTCACTCAGACGTTGCCCTCTGTCCTGCATCTCTGTGCTGCAAAAGCAGTCAGTGATCGCACATTAAGCTGAATGTGCAGCATCGCTTTGTCCATGTGTGTGTTTGTGGGATTTCTAGCCCGCTTTTTCCTTGCATTGAATTTACAGTATTCTCCTGCTCTCAGTCTTATCCCCACAACAACGACCCTGTGAGGTAGGCTGGGCTGAGAGTCAGTGGCTGGCCCAAAGTGGCCCAGCTGGCTCCATGGCTGAGTGAGGATGAGAACCCGGATCGCCCAAGTCCCAGTCCCGTGCTCTTAACCACTACGCCACACAGTAGCATGGCCAGTTTAAAAAAAGAGTTGCCAACCCTCGCATTGGGTCCTGTCCACTCCCTCCTGCCTCTGCAGCACTTCTTGGGGACTAGCGGCTTGGCTTTGGCGTTCTTCCCACGTTCTCTGGCAGGGTGTTCTTATTCCCAGCAAAAGTACAACCCGGATGCCCAAGGGTTGCCAGCAACAGGCAGGCAGTGGGTGGGTGAGCAGGTTACAAGAGATCGCTGCTGATTAATATAGTTAGCAGCATCTGTGAGCCAAAGAAGCCAGAATGTAGAAAGAGTCGACACTCGAGCTCACGGCTCAGAGGATCCCACCCAGACGGCTGCTGCCTCCAGCGCAGGTTTGGGGTGTAATTACCTGGCTGGGAGTGGCTGGCATGCAGCCGAAACGGAACTGTACCCCCCCGGGCAGGAATGGAAGATGGTGCCTTTTATGTAGTCTCTTGCAGATAAGGAGGCAGGCCGGAGAGCCCTGGCACGTGCCGGGACGGTCGGGCCGGGGCGACGGATGTGGCCTCTGGCTTCGTCAAGTCCCTTCCGCTTGGAATGAGCCAGGCCTGGAAAATAAGCCGGCTCCACAGAATGTCTGTGTGCCAAGCGCTGCGAGAAGCACAGCACAGGGCCAACAGAGAGGGAAAGCAGAAAAGGAAAGCTAGCAATCCCATTCCTGACCTCAGCACCCAAAGAAATATCGAGGAGTCGGAGCCACATCCTCTTGATGGCAAACTTCCAAGTTCCGTCGCTGGACCAGGCGAAGGTCTATCCGATAGTCTGACCTTCTGTCGCTTGGGCAGCTCGGGTGGCTGACAAGCGAGGCGCGGATTGGGTGGCCAGCCACCTCTGCTATTAATTCCTTGTAACTTGTAACCAGAGGTAGACGGCTCCTGTGCATGCAGGTTCCCTTTATCTAGCTGGCCCCACAAAGTTTTGCAGCCTGGGCTGAAGAAAGAGACCACAGTCATTGCAAAACTGGGTGGCTACAGCCTTCTCCAGCAACTGAGGTAGACTGCTTCCGAAGCTGGAAGTTCTGCTTAGCTCTTGCCCGGATGACTGCTGAAACCTCAGCCCTGGGGCTGCAGTACTGGAAGGCAGCTGAGGAGGGGCAAGGAGAGCTGAGTGGCGCCAAGCCCTCTGTTCGGAGACTTCGCTGCCGCCTCCAAATGCCTGCCGCCTGAGGTACCAGCTCACTGTATCTAATGGCAGGGCCGGCCCCATAGCAGTGTTGAACGTGGTGCTTCTAACAGCTCCGTTGCGCTCTCACCTCTTGCTGGGAGCAGGAGTTACGGCCCAGCCCAGGCAGAGCCAGGCTTGGCTGAGAGCAGGTCACCGCCAGAGCAGATGCTCTTCCCATCCCCGGACCCTGGGAGCCCTGGTCAGTACGAAACAGAGAACCGCACCGGGTCAGACAAACGATCCACACAGGCTGACATGCCCAGGTGGACAGTCCGAAAGCTCTCAGGGGGCCCAAATTCTGGGTAGTTGCCTTCCCCAGCAACTGTTATTCTGCGGGGTAGATCGATATAGATAGATAGATAGATAGATAGATAGATAGATAGATAGATAGAAATGAAAGAGGGAGAAAACAAAGATGAATCTTCTACCCATCAGTTTCATGGGAATGACCCCTTTGGGTTCTAGTAAGAGAAAGACTCTGAAGCCCTGAAAAAGTTGATAGCGAGGAATGCCTTGGAGCATGTGCAGAATTTTTTTTTTCTTTCAACACAGGGTGGGTCCAAACAGCCCTTCCGGGAGAGCAAGGAAGAGTAATTTCCTTCCAGGGAGATGGGAGCAGTTCATGGTAGAAGGCATGGCACCAGGCTGGGGGTACCAAACCACAAACAACCACCAAGCGGGGAAATTTCCTGTTATGTCAGCTTCAGGCCAAGCTCCTCCGGCGTGACAGGAGCGCGGGCGTGTCTGAAAGCGATAAGCAGACACTCCTTGGCCAAACATCTCTCTGGGCTTCCCGCACAGCAAGAAGGATCCCACTTCTTGGCTGTTTCCGTCTCTCTTCCTGAGCTTAAGCAGTGATGCACAGCCAGAATTTCAGCAAGCTGCTCTTTCTGGAGATGGAGCGAAAGACGCTCTCGCCTACTTTTTCTGGGCATTAAATACGGAGGCCGTTTTCTGTGGAACTCCCTGCCTGTTAGCACCAATTTCATTTTGCTTTCAGCAAATACAGCATATTTCTATTTAAACGACTCTCCCCATAATTGACCAGCTGCAGTTTGAGTGACACAAACCAGTGGGGTTTAACGGGTAGGATGTTTGCCTGCAATGTAACACCCTGATTCTAGTCCACACTCAACTATAAAGCTCCTCTCTCAGCCTCGCCTACCTGACAGGGTCATTGTGAGTAGAAAATGGAAGAGGGATTAGGTAGGGATTAGGTATGCCCCCTTGGTTCCTTTCAAAGGGAAAAAAGAAGCAGTAGATATATAAATATAAAGAAAAGCACATTTCAAATATTGAGTTTCGGTATTTTTCCCCATCTTTCTTTGGGTGTTCACCACTCAGGAACCTTGTTAAATATATGGTAGTATAGGCATCCTGGAAATAATCACTAATTAAATAAGTCGTATGCTCGCTTGTCCTCCTCTTGAATCCCTTAAAATCAGATAACCAGTGTTAAAGCAAGACTAAACCACCCACTGCAGAGGAGAGGGGGCAGCGTGTTCTTTGGCTAATATTTGGGTGCATGAGGAGCTGGTGCTTCCATGATGCACTCAGAGGTCTCTCTCCAGCCACACTCCTTTCATTCAAACTCTTGAGTACCACTAAAGATTTGGGGAGAAGGACTGGAAGGGGAAAAGCACAGAACTGAAGGGGTTTGTTGAGCAACTAGCTTGGTTCATAGGATTGTCTAGAGCAGTGGTGGCAAACCTTTTAGCGACCAAGTGCCCAAACTGCAACCCAAAACCTACTTATTTATCTCAAAGTGCCAACACTGCAATAAAACCTGAAAACAGAGGTTTTAGTTTACAGAAAGTAACTCACAGCCAGTCCAAGCAAATCTATCTATCCATCCATCCATCCATCCTTGGCAGCGCACTGACCGGCTATGCCAAAGCT